GACTGGCTAGCTTCGTAACTTGAGAGTCCTGGAATTGAAGGGTTTCAAACTACGATGAAAAAGCTGTCCAGTATTGTGCGTGTGTGTATTGGGTTTCAATGTTCCTCTAGCTCACATCGGTCCACGATGAAACTTAAAACCAGCACTTGTTAAGAAGGATGAGAGCTAGTCACACCACCTATTGTTTGAATTCAGATACAGGCTCTGAATAACTCTTTCATGTACCACGCTATGAGCAGCCATGTAGTCATTTTGTGTGTGTGTGTGTGTGCAAGGTAATGATTCTTTCCCCTCCATAGTGCTTAGACCGAAGGAAGTGAGGTGGTATTCATATCCGAGAACTACTGACCGGAAGTCGATTGCTTAAATCAGTAAGTTGTATCTCCATAATGACACTATCCAGCTGTCTGAAACTTGGTAGGCAGAGCGGAGCTTGATCCTACAATCGAGTGACTGGAATTTAAACATCTAGACGTAAAAGCTATATCTGGATTTGGAAAAGTATGGATCCACATAAGTATAACATGATAAAGTTCTTAAATCCTAAAGGATAATAAGCTTTATGCAATTTTGATCAGTTTTATCTTATGTTATTTACAACTTGCAAATATTTATTGATAATATTTTGAAGCTACACCTCTCATGCTTCTACATAGCTGAAACGAACAGTCAATGGATTCTGAAGTTCTAAAACTCAATGACAGTCTTCTGTCAATACGAAAAATCAGATGACCAATCTGAAAGGATTGGGGTCAAAGAACTCTCGAAAAGAACCATTCAATAATCTAGTGCCCTACACAAGTATGTAGAAGAAAATCGAGATAGATTTGATAAATTCTGAGAAGAATATTAAGTAGTATAACAGGTCAGACAGGCCCTCGAATGGAACAAGGATGGGAAGCAAAGGTTTGGGCCCAAGTCTGAGTATGACGTACAGGAGATCGTGTGATGTGGAGATGAAAGCTTATGGGCGACATCGGCGTTAGCTACAAAAAGGGCTGAAGAGAAAAAAGTGAAATAAAGTTGTACTTCTGAAGCTCTATGTCCAACGCGGAACCAAAGAGAATAAGGAAAAATAAATTATCACTATACAATTGGTGGGAACATCATCACTCACTGAGAAATGCAGGTACATCCAGATGATGAGTCCCAAATAGGACGAAATGCGCATCCTGGATTCCACTGCTAGCCACCACCCACCAATTGTATACTAATTAAATACCCAGACATCGTCGAAGCATCTGCACAAGAAGCCGACATGTCAACCTGAGACCGAGCACTTCGGTCCAATCAATCGACGGGAAAATCAAAAATTCAATTCAATAAATTATTATATTTGACAGTGAGTGGAAATACTTAAGTATGCTATTAACAGCGTATGCGATTATGGGTCACAAGTGATTAGATATATGAATGAATAACCTAACGTTCACTGTGGGGGGCATGTGTGAAATAGATAATCGGAAAATAAAGTACATTCGGAAATGTGAATATGTTATGATGATGGAGAGTTGAATGGATGACTGAAATGTTGTCAAAATAGTAGACTAGATAAAATGTTACATTATGATAACATAAAGTGAAATGAAATAAAACAAAAACAAAATTGGAACACGGAATAAAGAAGAAGGATAACAAAGTTGTTATGTGAATTACCTAGTAAAATCAAGACCATGATAACGAAGGAGACCGTACGAACAGCTTGTGTACACAAAGTTCGGGCCTTATGTTATGTATTGCGAAAGCCTCCGCTATACAAAGCAAATTCAATCTTGTCCCAGAGTAAATTTCTTACTATAATTTTGCTCCTTTCTTTTAATATGTAAGTTCACTGTTATTACTGTTATCATTATTGTTCTTAATACTTTTACTATTATAACTATTCCCATCATTCACATTTTATTACCACTCTATTACTGTTTATTAATAACATTGCTTTTTCATACAGATTTTATATAAAAACACTTTATAGCCTTTCCACTAGTTCCTGTCCATTCTCCGCAAGCTTACTGATTAGTCATTATCTCACACTTATTAGGTCATGCCAACTTCTGTCTCCTTTCTAACTTACAATTAGTCATCCCTTCTTACACCTTACATAATGTAGTACAATTTTCAAGGACAGAGTTTACCAGTATCTGATTGGTCTAAAGATTTCTTTGCTAATTATAATTACGATTGTACGGCTCATGAAAATGAATCGTTGAAAAGAAAATTGTCTTCGGTGTTTTTGCTTTTTCTTATGACTCAATATGAGAATATTTCGTTCCTTTCGGTTAACTATGTAGACTATATTAAACGACGTGTCGGATGTCGCGTGGCAAGTATCTATACTATCTTACAATATCGATGAGCCATTACCTCTACATTGTGCTTTGCTCAGCCAAGCTGGGAGGGGCTTTCGAACGCGGTGGTGGGATGCGTTTCTTCGCGAACTTCCCATGTACCTAGGTCAGCAAGAGCAAGTGAATATATAAATACACATGGAATCAGACAATCGAGGCAATATTTCCTTGATGTTCGTCAAGAAACATATCCCACCGATGCATTCGAGAGAACCTCCCATTTCGGTTGAGCAAAGGAGAATGTAGAGTTATTAATTCATCGGAATTGCATTCATACTGTAGATACTTAACTTACCAAGCAACATTTGATACATCGATTAATATAGTCTGCAAAATCCGTCAGAGTTTGCCGAAAGGGGGACGACTGCATTTGTTTTGCATAGCAGAGGCTTTGGTAATGCACAATATAAAGCCAGAACTTTGTGTACAAAAACAATTTGTACGATATCTTTCGTTACCATGGTCTTGATATTACTGGGTTATTATCTATATTATATATTATTTTTTCCTTTAATTCCAAGAGGGCTTCACCTGCGCCTCTCCATTGCGTTCGGTTCTCTGCTTGAGTTTTCACCTGGTTCCACGTCTGCCCACACATGCTTTCATCTCCTCTTCACATGACCTCCTCCAAGTCACCCTTGGACGACTAACTCGCCACTTTCCTTTCGAGTTCCACTCGAGGGCTTGTCTAGTGATGTCACTTGATGGTTTCCTTAGAGTATGGCCAATCCATCTCCATTTCATCCTGGATATTACTATGTAATTCGCATAACAACTTTGTTATCTTTCTTCTTTATTCCGTGTTCCAATTTTGTTTTTGTTTTATTTCATTTCACTTTATGCTATTATAATCTAACATTTTATCTAGTCTACTATTTTGACAACATTTCACTCATCCATCGAACTATCCATCATCATAACATATTCACATATTCACATTTCGGAATGTACTTTATTTTTCAATAATCTATTTCACACATGCCCTCTATTGAACTTCACATTCATCAACATGAAACAACCAATCTGGAAATCTTCGTCACTCAGCCACTATCAACAACAAAATTCGGATTTGCAATACAAACGTCAATTCAGTCAGTTCTTCTATACGGATCAGAAACTTGGCGGGTGGGTCACAAAGAATATTTCCAACAGCCTGTTACAGACCTTTATTAACAACTGTCTTCGCTGGATCTATACTGAAGATCAGATGGCCGGAAAGAATCACTAACAAGGAACTATGGGGATAAACAAAGCAAGAACCAATCGCCAACCAACAAATATGCAGGAGAAAGTGGAGATGGATTGGACACTCGCTGAGTGACGAAACCGCTGGGTGACATCGCGCGTCAAGCCCTCGAGTGGAACCCGAAAGAGAAGCGGCGAGTGGGACGTCCAAGGGTGAGATGGAGGAGATCGTGTGAAGAGGAGTTGAAACAGTATGGACTAACATGGATTCAGGTGAAAAGTACAGCAGAAGACAGAAGCAAGTGGAGACGTGAAGTTGAAGCCCTATGTTCCACTAGGAACCCAAGGGAATAATAATAAAAAATATAATAATATATATATATATATGTATATATATATATATATATATAAACAGTTGTGACTCTTAATCCTATACACCAATGTTATTGCACTCTAGTATTTCCATTCACTGTCAAACTTTAACACACACACATACATATATACACACTACTGTAAATTACTATATACCAATGGACATTGATATGAGAATAGAGCTTGTGCACTGCAGTGGTAGAGTATAATTCCATTATGGGTAAAATTTATTCTGATAAAGTTTAACAGTGTTACGCAGTAATATTTACTGGTGACCACGTTTCCAGCACAATTTATACACTGCTCATAATCACATCAAGGCACTACTCACACAACTTTCTAACTTCGCTTATATAATTCCATTCTTTTCCATCGCTTGATTGGTTTGGAAGTAGTATTTTCCATATTTCGGGTATGAGTAATGAGTCATTACAGAACCGTTGGAAACCAGCCAGGGAGTACTGGACAGCTGTTTCCTCTGTCCTAGTTTGAGAATCATAGGCAGTACGCACCCATTGTCACGGTTGGTACCCAGGACATTCCGGTTACAAGGCAAGCTGACTCGTATACCATTCAGCCTTCACTGAGACCTGATTCCTCAATGGTCAGTTCATGAATTCTAACTTCTACCACTTCGTAATTTTAGCGCGACCTCAACCAATCTGAGCCTTACTAGTGACTGGCTACAGGATGAAGTTTACTGGAATTCTAGTGAGAAGTCGTCACCAGTGAGGCTCATCCAGTCAAGTGTGTGAGAATGGATATCCCACCGACGACATTGGCTGAGGTCACTCCAAATCATGAATTCGGAGAAGTTAGAATTCATGAACTGACCATTGAGGAATCAGGTCTCAGTGAAGGCTGAATGGTATACGAGTCAGCTTGCCTTGTAACCGGAATGTCCTGGGTACCAACCGTGACAATGGGTGCGTACTGCCTATGATTCTCAAACTAGGACAGAGGAAACAGCTGTCCAGTACTCCCTGGCTGGTTTCCAACCGTTCTGTAACTGATATCAATCCGTGATCAACTCGTAAAAACGTAACTAATCCTTACAAACCAACTATAGAAAAAAGTATATATATATATATTACTCACAAATTTTTTTGATAGTATAATCTTTCAGCCACAGCACATAATATATAGAATTCATTCATTGTAAGTGGTCTACAATCGGCAGATAATTCAAATAAGCTAGCCAGTTCATCAGCTTGTTCTTTAGTCAGTGTACCACCAAGAAGATTTCGAATTGAATCCATAACTACCTGCATGAAAAGATGGCGAAAATCATCGTCCGGTTACATATTACGCAAAGTTAAACTTTAGGCAAATGACCTTGAACGCACCAATCACATGAAGGGATGGGTATGGAATACATATATTTATGGAAAGAAAATGCATAAAAACTGTATAAAAGTGTTACAGAGGATACCTCACTCTTACATGTGATAAAACCATCTCCCAATTTAGCATATAAGTATTGATAAGATTTCATTTTGATAAATCACACAGTGTTGTTACACAGTAATATTAACTGAGGACAGTAACGATGGATGATGACGTTTCGAGGATAAATTATTGCTGCTCATAATCATATCAAGTCCCTCACACACAACACTCACACACACACATGCTCTATAAGCCATTCGAAACTGGATAAGTACCCTGCTGATGTTACCTCCAACTGCATTTATAAATTTACGTGCACATGCAACAGCAGCAAGTACATTGGAAGGACAGAAAGAAGACAGGGCTTCCATCCGGTTTTCAGAGCATATTCCAAGAAACTTATGCTCAGAAAGAAGCAGATATTTACAAAGGGCAATTACCAGACACCTACCCTGTGGATACGGGTCATTTTGTCGAGATTTCCAAATCCTTCAAAATATCAAACATACAAAGGACAATGAATTTACTACGATTTGCTCAAGCAATCACAACCAAACGTTTCCGACCAAATTTATACACACAGAAAGAGAGTAGTTAATCTCTCACTGCCTTGGTAACCGGATTACTTTCATTACACTGATTAGTCGTCACACACACTAGTGAGCTCAGCTCATTAAGCAAGTTTTCAATTTGATGAACTTTAACCTTCTTGAGTTTCCATGCTGATGTACAAGCTAACACTGTACACTAGATTTTTCTGTCTTCTCTCGCCCCTTCTATTTCTTCATAGTTTGATAGTATATAAATTGATGGTAACTTAAACTAAAACTAAAATTGCCCTATTCAGGTAGGTAGTTACCTGGGGTTCTAGTGACAAGTCGTGACCAGTAGGGTGCAGCCGGTCAACATTGGCTAGGGGCAGCGCTATGTCGTGAATTGGCAGAAGTTAGAATTCATAGGCCATTGGATCGTGTCCCGGTAGCTTAATGGTATACGAGCTCGCCTTGTAATCAGAATGTCCTGGGTTCGAACCCCGGTGGGTGGGTGCGTACTGCTGAAGAATCCCAAACTAGGACGAAACAGATGTCCAGTACTCCTAGGTTCTCCAATGGTTCTCTAACTAATGTCAGGTAATGATAAAATCCTAAAAATTGTAATACTTGTATTCTGGATGCGTTCATCTTACAATGTTGTCTCTATTACCTTCCAAACATTGAAGTATGAAATGTTATTATTTATAATCATTGTAATTTCATTTCGTTCGCAGCTGATAAGAACCTGTGAAATAGAATAACGATATCATTTTATACTGCAGATCTGGTCTTTCTTTCTCTATCGAAACTTACACAATAATTTAATAATAATTTTCATTATAATACTAATTTAATGAATGAAGTGTAAGTAAATGATGTTAGTGGGTGTAACATGATTATTCGCTAACGTCTCATTGCTCGAAACAGTTAACCACTGATGTGACCAACTGACAGAACAAAAGATAGATGTAGGAATCCTACCAGAAAATTCAAAGAATTACTACTGAAATTTAAGATGAATATCCAGTTTATGTTCAACGATGACTTTTATAGACAAGTTGATGATGTTACCAAAGACTCACCACTGTGCCCTATGCTAGCGGATATTTTCCTAGCAAAGCTTGAAAATCGTCCACTCAGCGACACAATTAAACGGCTTGACTATTATTGTCGATACCTTCATCGTGTTTGATAAGAATCTTAGTAAAGAAAAGCTTCTGAATGGTGTTAATAGTGTTCACCCAGGTATTCAGTTTCCATGTAAGGAAGAAGAAAGCGACAATGTACCTTTCTTAGACTTCCTCCTCACCAAGAAGATAGATGGATATCTGTGGTGAGAGCAGGCCGTGAGAAAATATGAGCAAGGCGGATTTAACAACCAATCACAGCAAAGTTAACGTGGCAAAATATGATTCGCAGATAGAGAACTCTATTTGTCGAGGAATCCCGAAACAACCAATCAGAAGCCTGCGTTTGTCTGCCAAACTTCTGATAAACAACCAATCAGATGACTGCGCTTGTCTACTTCCATAAGCTATAATAATGTATGTGAAATATGTATAAATACGTGTTGATTTTCATAATCAAACGATCTGTTGCCTGGCCCTTGTCTTCTGTTGTTACGTATCTACTAAGGAACCTATTAATGAAGAAGACTTGGACGAGTCAGTACACCCATCGCTTCACATCCATTTATTACAAAAGGAACTTAGTTAAATGTCTCAGGCATACAAAAAAGAAAACCATATGGTCAGAGAAATGCATTAAAGAAGAAATGTGTAAGCTGAAACTTACACTACAAGGAAAAGGATATCCAGAGAACTTTCTTCGCCTACCATGGTCTACATGACCTATTTAAATATGATTGGTAATTAGTATGTACTTTTTTTTATTTAACTGAGTAATTGTCATGAGCTTTATTCTATTATTGTTAACCATGTTAGTTGTAAAGAAACATGGATTAGTCATATACACCAGTGAGCTCAGCTCATTAAACTAGTTTTCAATATTTACAAAATCCTGTTCATCTCACTTCACTAAATTTATCATCATTATTATTATTGGATAATCACTCACCAATAGTACTTTTAAGTTTACACCAAAAACAGCAGCTGTCCAGTACTCCCTGGACTCCTTGCGAAACTAGAAAATGGGCCTCTGAAGGATGTTATTAGTGAACTCGAATTTTATTGTCGGTACATGGATGATACTTTTTTAATTATGAAAAACGAGAAGGAAGCAAAGAGCATCCTGGATAAATTTAACGAGGTACATACTGCAATAAATTTTACCATCGAGACAGAAAAAGACTCTGGTATTCCATTTTTAGACGTCCTTATGACCAGAAAAGAGGATGGCACAATAAGAAGAAGTGTATATAGAAAACCTACATCAACGGGCCAGTACACACATTTTCTCAGTTTTGCGCCCTTGAAATACAAACGCAATTTGATAAAGTGCCTGGTTCACAGAGCAAGAGCGATTTGCTCGGACGAATGTCTTGATGAAAAACTGAATAATATTAAACGGTTGCTAAGTGAGAATGGTTATCCTGAAAAGTTTATTGATAAGAATATGAATTTGAAACCAAAGCAGCCGAAGTTACCAACAGTTCCAAAAAGGCCTTATTCTTTCAGATGCAGTTCCTTGGGGACAACACTAGCGAGATACTAACACAGCGTATTAGAAATGCGGTAAAACGAGCATTCCCTGCTGCTGAATTACGTTGTATCTTTAAGACTACTTCTCTTCTGCGTTCGGGAGTAAAAGACAAACTGCCTAATTTCGCCTCATCCATGTGTATCTACCAATTTAATTGCTCCTGTGGAGCCAGTTACATAGGCCGCACAAATCGATATTATTTAAAAAACACTAATATTGTTATTAACTACCAACCTTGAATATTCTGTGTATACAAACATGTATATAATTGTAGAGCCAGAAGATGAATTTATCGAAAAGAATATTCTTTGCTCGATTATGTAGTGTTTTATAGGTTCTCTAACTGATATCAATCCGTGATCAACCCGTAAATCATCGTTATTATTCCACAGTCATTATTATTTTTCATCCTTCAACTTATGTCTAGTCCCCCCCCTATTCGTTGGTTTATTTCCTGTGGTAATCATCTTGTCTCAAACGCCTGTGATTACACTCACCGTCGAAATCTGTACCTTTGTTGACTGTATGTATATATACATAAATATGTGATAAGAATAACGATAAAAACTTTTTATGAGTCTGGCATTCAAAGGTGACACCATTTCGGAATTGAATAAAAAATCGTTTATCTAAATGTATTAAACGCACTTTTCCTGCAGCTGACTTGCAACTAGTTTTTACAAGCTGAAATATGATTAGACAATGCCTCAAGGATAGATTACCGCTTTTGTCCACATCTATGCGCAATTACTCTTTTAACTGCTCTTGTGGAGCTGATTATATTGGACTTTGTAAGCGTAATCTCCGAAAACGTGTAGCTGAACACTATCCGGTTTGGTTAATGAAAGACGAACGTAGAACTGCAAAGTCATCTATTTGTGATCACCTGTTAGAGTCTGGTCATTTAGACGCATGTGATTCATTCTTCAAAGTTATCTATATGGCAAAATCGAATCGATCCAAAAGTTTACGTTTTCTTCACTTATGCATAGTCGAAGCTTTAGCTATACATGAACAGAAACCTAAATTATACGTTTTGTCAAATCCCTTTCTTTACCTTGGTCATAGTAATGTTCTTTCTAGTTTTTATTTTACCACTTGAATTCTTTCCACTTCCCTTCACACGTTCATTCTTATCGTAATCGTACTCCTAATTTTTAAAATTTTTAGACAACACGACATTTTTAAAACCATTTTTGACATCAATTCACTTATAAAACAATCTTTAATAATTTTGTAATTCATCCACTTCAACTCTACCCCTTATAACATTTTAATTATCGTTATTCTTATCACTTATATTTGTATATTGACTGAGCAATTATTTAGTGCCACTTAATAACCTTTTTCTGTAATATAAATACAACTGTACAGCTTGAAAATGAAGTCGTTGAAAAGAAATTTCTTCGCTGAACAAAAAAACTGTTTTTACTTATGAATAAATGGGTATTTTTCGTGATGTATATATATACACTCATCGTTAAATTATTTCATCTCATTTTATCTCGTGTTTTCATTGACCATGCATATTCAAGAAAACTAACTTACTGTTGTTCCATAAAATGGACCCACACAAAATACTTGAAGGATCTGGACTTCGCCGATGATGATATATGTCTGATTTCCCACAAACTGGAAGATATGCCAAATGGCAGAAGAAGCATCCAGAGGAGATAGGACTTCCTTCAGGTGGACATAGAGAAGACAGATGTGGTGATGAAGATTCCTGACCAACAGCAACCAGTTGGTCGTCAGTGTGAGGTTGACATGGAGTATGTCATGTGAAGAGGAGATGAAAGCATGTGGCCAGACATGGAGCCAAGTGGAAACATTGGCAGAGAACCGAACGGAATGGAGACGTTTGGCTGAAGCCCTATGTTCCTGTAGGAACTAAAGGAAACAATAACAATAATAATTGTTCCATCCCATTTTATACTTGTTTCACAATACACTGTCTGATATAATCCCAATTTGCCTATATTGGCTGACCGGCTGGCTATTGTATGCTTAAATTAATGGATTTTTAAGTGTAGAGAGAGAGAGAGCCTGAAGAAGAGGAATTTATTGAAAGCGACAATTGTTCACTCCTCTGACTACTTTTATCCAGATTAAAATAATCAGCAAAGTGAAGAAAAAAGAAAACAAACAAACGAAAAAGTGAACTCACTTTTAAATTAACTTTTCTATGACGATTATCTTTCATTTTAGAATAGATTCTTTGATAAAGACCAGTACGTTTTGTTGATAAAAAACAATAACGAAGACAATAATCCATTGGACCTAATCCTAAATTGATAAAAAACAACAATATAAAACGGAAATTGTGCTAAATTAATCAATAATGCTATATACTACTGATTAGTTGGTTGATATAAGTAGTTGGACACCCCCCCCAACACTCATCAACTGTCAGTGTTTACCAGTCAGCCAGATAGCCAGACAGAGTGAATTCACGTAAACACCAGACACTCATTTTGCTCATTAGTGACGGAGCTGACCATCGGTCTATGCAGTTTGACTCACTTCAAAGAATTAAATTATTTGAAACCAGCCCAATTATATTTTAGATATGTCCAAACCACATTCACTTTTAACAGTTTGAAAAAATTTGGGCATTGGGTATATGATATTCATTATAATAGAGGATTTTTGTATTTCCCAATGAATGAATGAAAAACAAAACGATATTGCTGTTTTTACTGACGTTTCGCTATTTAATGTTGCTGCTACTAGCTTTATCAAAGTAGTATTATTAAACCAGAATTTATAAAATCCACTCAGCTTATATATAACAACTTAATCATCGTTCCTCAGCATGGTGGCATTTTCGCGTTATCAAATTGGCCAATTGGTAAAGATAACAAAACCAGGTGTAGATTGTTGCATTTGATAAGCGTGTAAAATTATAAAAGCAGAGTGTGTTTACATAATGAAATTGCTTATCATATTCGTGTTCATTTTATCATTTCATAGGGGAAGAGGGTGTTGTAACTAGGTCAATTTCTGTTTGTCTTCATCTGCCTACTCAGACAATTTGGATTCCACTTAATAATGAAGTGCTCCTGATTGATATTAGACGTTCTTTGTGATTTCTGAAATACTTTTTCTGGATGATGATTTCATTATTGTCAGAATCAATTTTGTGACCTGATTCTATAGCGTATAGACCACCATCTATGGCTGATAATATTTTAAGTTTTTCTAGTTCAACTGGATTTGGTGTGTAGTCGGACAGAGTCGGCTCTCCGGTGACATTTCTTCTGATTTTGATTTCTCGAGATGTTTGTTCGATGTATACCGCATGGCATTCAAAGCAATCATTTTATTTTGTGGATACAATTAGATAGATAATCTTTAAGGATTTGATCTTTTATATGGACAAGGTTGTTCTGCAGTGTGTCTGATGTTTTGCAGAAAACTCTAATGTCGAGCTTATTGAGTACTCTTCTGATATCGTTTGACATCTCTGCTCTATATGGAATGACAACTGTTGAGGTTCATGTTTTCGGAATAGGTTTTCGACCATACTTTATGTCAGTGTTGATTTTGTTGATGAAGTTCGTTGGGTAGTTGTTTTGCTTGAAAGTTTTAGTGAAGTTTGAAATTTCTTCTTCTTTTTTTGCTCATCCGTTATCAGGGAGTGTGCTCGTCTAAGAAGACTTGAAACAAGTGAAATCTTTGCACTGATGGAGTGTGATGATTTGAAGTCTAAATATTTATTGGAGTGGGTTTTCTTCCTGAATATAGATATACTAAAATGTCCGTTTTCCTTTCTCTTAACTAGGCAGTCCAGAAATGGTACTTCACCAACGTCTGATTCTGCTTTCGAAGTAAATTGGGTTGTGGGAGATAGAGGGTTTATTTTCTCCAAGAATAAACTATGTAGATCTCGTTTTAGCACTACAGAAGTATTATCTACATATCTTAACAATATTTTAGCGGTGAGTATGCTTGAAAAGATGTTATCTTCAAATCTATTGGGGAAACTGATGAACTCATAGCAACACCCCAATTGTAGGTTGGGTAATGGGGGGGAACTTATGATACATTAAATCATATTCACAATTTTCAGGTTATACATTTCTAGGTGAAATTTTACCAAGATAACTCCCTTTAAAAATCGAAATTATTCAGATCACAAAATATTTGATTCGTTTGATATCATAAAGAGAAATGAAGGAAGCCAGCCTAATTGCATGGTGGCTCTTCGGTGTTTGGATTGCAATCGAATGGGCTTCTGTTAAACTATATGTATGTGTAAGAGATACGACATGTCTATCCTCCGTTCAAATCCAGTCTCTGAAGCCAACTGTATGACTATCAAGACAACTGTACTGACGGAATTTCCTCGTTTCTTTGTGTTCAGCATGCCAAGTAGGGTTTCAAGATTCTTTGAAGTTACAGTAACAGTGACTTATTTCTTTTTACGAGTTGGACGGCGGATTGATATCAGTTAGAGAACCATTGAAAATCAGCCAGGGAGTAGTAGACAGCTGTTTCCTTCGTCCTAGTTTGGGAATCATTGGAAGTACGCACCCACTGCCACGGTTCGAACCCAGGACCTTCTGGTTACAAGTTAAGCTCGTATACCATTCAGCCACCACTGAGATCCGATTCCTCAATGGCCAGTTCATGACATCTAACTTCTACCGATTCGTGGTGCATTTAGAGTGACCACCAACCAATGTCGTCTATGGGATATCCATCCTCACACGTGGCTGGATGAACCTCACTGGTGACGACTCACTAGAACTCTGGAATACTCCGTACTCTAGCCAGTAATCACTAGTGACCATCAGATTAACTTTCAATAGTTGGTTTGTAAAGACTAGATTTATTATTAAGAGTTTGACCATGAATTGATATCAATTAGAGAACCATTGAAAACTAGGGAGTACTGGAGAGCTGTTTCATGCTAGTTTGGTGCCGTGGCTGGTGACCAGCAGTGAAATCCAGGATGCATCATCTTCTAGATGTACCTGCATTCCCCGCTAGTGGTGGTGCTTCTATTGAAACTAGATTCCAATACCTATCGTTTCAAACGTCAAAGCGTTATCCACTTGGGCCATGAGAACCACCTCTTGTACAACATGTACTAGTTATTATTCATTTTTAAGCTAATTTTAATATCCCCGTTGAATGGTTGGACCGAAATGTCCAGCCTCTTGGTGAAAGTGGTCTCGGGGGGGTAGGTAACGCTATAGCTTTTGAGATGATGGATAGTGGGTGGGAACACAGCATCGCTTATCGAGGAATGCAGGTACATCCAGATGAAGAGTCCTGAAAACGGTGAAATACACATTGTGGCTTCTTATGCTAGTCACCATCTACCAAAAAATTACTTCATGCTACTCCTCAGATCTCGTCGAAGCTTCATTACCAGAAGCTGACATGCAGTCAACTGGGGGGTGAACATTTCGGTCCAGTTAATTGGCAGGATGAACATCTGTATACAACGGTTAAATATGATTACTCATCACATATTCATACATATTTGAAGGCAGATGCAGACTTCCGGGTCGGGGCCCTCTGGACTCTAGGAATCAATGGCTGGAGACAATAGGTGACATGGTTCAAAATCGTTGTCAATGGCGCAGATGTATTCAGTCTCTGTAATCTTTCATATTCCTTTCTACCATTATCCATTCTGTTTCACTCTTATACTTGTCAAACTCTATTGATTCTCTTCACTCATCTTCTTGTCTACCTTTGTGTGCTATTTGGAAGGTGACAACTCGAACTGCTGCACTTCGGTGCCAAGTTCTATATTGAATCCAGACAGACAGATTTTTGAAATACAAATACTTAGGCATTGCTTAAAAGAAAACTAGACCTTTATTTACCTTGTAATTCTTTCAATTCCATTGGTAAAGTGAAACGGGTATTGTATTCACGAATTGAATTACGATCGTGATCATCATGACCAAGACGATAACATATCCACTACAGCAAAAGAATAAAATCAACAAAAAGAATTTCTAGTTTGATCATGAAAATGGCATCAGTTAGAGAAGCTTTGGAAAATAGTTACCACTGGATAGTTGATTATTTAGCACTATGTACCTGTCTCAGGGGTCAGTTCCACTTACCACTAGGTTACGAAGCGATTTCGTTTACTATCTAGTCATTGAGACGGAATTCAATGGTAGGCCCATGAATTCTAAATGTGTACCCCCACCTCTAACCAATGGCATCGCCAAGTATTTTTCCCTATACTCAAACTGGTGAAAACTACTGTTCACAATTTTTATCACTAGAACTCCATGTAACCCTATCCTGTAGTCAGTCACCAGTGAGCATAACGGTAATTTTCAAGCGTTGGTTTTGTAGGGGTTTGATTGATTCCCAAGTAGATCATTAAGTGACTTCAATCATGGAAGCATTGAAAATCTGGATGTTGGTACAAATACTCGCCAATAACATTACCTGGCGTGCTCGTTATTATTTATTTATTTGTTTCTATAGTTTGGTTTGTAAGGATTAGTTATGTTTTACGAGTTGATCACGGATTGATATCAGTTAGAGAACCATTGAAAACCAGGGAGTACTGGACAGCTGCTGTTTCATCCTAGTTTGGGAATCATCGGCAGTACGCACCCACTGGGTTTCGAACCCAGGACCTTCCGGTTACAAGGCAAGCTTGTATACCATTCAGCCACTGGAACCCGATTCAATGGCTCGTGAATTCTAATATTCAATCCGTGATCAACTCGTAAAACATAACTAATCCTTACAAACCAAACTATAGAAAGTTAATCTGATGCTCGCTAGTGACTTGTTACAGGTTGGAGTTTCCTGAGTTCTAGTGAGAAGTCGTGACCAGTGAGGTTCAATTAGATGTCACGTGTGTGGATGGATGTCCCACCAACGACAATGGTTGGGGTCGCGCTAAATCACGAATTGGTAGAAGTTAGAATTCACGAGCCATTGAATCGGGTTCTAGTGGCTGAATGGTATACGAGCTTGCCATGTAACCGGAAGGTCCTGGGTTCGAAACCCAGTGGGTGCGTAGTGGCGATTATTTATTTGTACTATTATTGTCTTGCGTTCCGAGTGGAACACAGGGCTTCAACAACACGTCCCAAATAGGACGAAATGCGTATCCTGGATCCCACTGCTAGTCATCATCCATAAACACCTCCACTTTGTTCTATTTTCTGCCATTCTCTTCAGCTGGGTCCATGGTTGACCAAAAATTGCGTCTACACTGTCTGGTAAAGGCCTATTCGAAATCGATGAAGTTGAGGTAGAGGATTGACCGCCATTCTGTGCTTTGTTCTGCCATGACGTTGCGTATAGTTGCAGTTTGATCAGTATATGATTTGCCTTTCCTGAATTCAGCTTCTTCCGGGCTGGCGGAGTTTTGTATACAATGCATCCTTTATTCTCTCCTAAATGACGTGACTTAGTATTATACTTGGCGTGGACAAGGGCATTATTCTACTCCAGTTTTTGATCAGGCCTAAGTGACCCTTCTTTGACAGTTTAACGAGGTAGCCTTTCTTCCAGTCAGTTGGCATCTTTCTTTCTTTCCAAACCTTTTGTAGTAATGGAGTGAGAACATCTGCCGTAATCTCTGGGGCCGTCTTCAGTGCTTCGGGAGGAATGTCATCTGGTCCTGCTGCCTTCCCGACTGGGTATCAGTGGCTAGATCTCATTCAGGATTTCTTCGTTCGTTGGAGGAGCGGTGTCAACTGGCATTTCCGTGTATGCTGTTGGTGGTGTTTCTGGGTAAATTGCAGGTGGTGATGGTCGATTCAAGAGTCTTTTAAACTGATCAGTGGATTCATTGTTTGATTTGTTTCTCATCCTTGGTGATTAGGTTCTCTTGAGCGTATTTTATAGGTTTCATCATCTGGGTTGATCTCTTCCCAGATAGCGATAGACCTGGTTATCTGATATAATGTTCTAAGGTGTCTTTTGCTTGCGGCCTGCATATCTGTTTTGCTCCAGTTGTTGAACAATTTGTCGTAGAATCGTCGTTTGTCTTTTCTAGCACTCTTCTTCACTTCTTCATTTAGTGCAATGTACATTGAACTTAACTTCTCCTTCTGTTGTCCATCTTTGCATTGAGTCATCTCTTTCACCAATCTCTCTCCTCTCTTCTGTTAGCTTCCCGGTAACTGTCCATTGACAGCCATTCCTTGTCTAGTCTCTTCCTTCTTCCTAGAGCAGTTGTACACGTTCCCTTAAATATCGCTTTCAGAGAGTTCCACTGTTCTTCCTTGCAGGTTTTTTCAGTGACGCCATGTAGTGTCCCCAGCTTTGCTCTAATCTGATCTGTAGTGAAGACATCAATTGTAGTTTTGTCCTTCAGTTTCTGAATGTTGAACTTGAATTGTGGCCTGTCTTCATTTGTTTTCATGGATTTCAGCTTCACTTTGAAGGTTCCTTGAACTAGGTGATGGTATGGTCGCACATCTGCTCCCCTTCCCGAATTTGTGTCCATCAGACTGGCTGTGTCCCACTTCCCTGAACAGCATTGAGATGAAATCTATTTGGTTTGTGGTACGTTCGTCAGGCGAAATCCATGTTGCTTTGTATTTGTACACGCTCCCTCTGATCACCAAATCATTGAAAGAGCAGAAGTCTTTGAATAATTCTCCGTTATCATTCACTTCTCCAAGAGCCTCTCAACCCATGATGAGTTCTCTTTCTTTATTATCTGCTCCCAGTTTGTCTGGCATTCATATCGCCCATAAGGATTTTGATGTCACCATTTGGGATGTTGTCCATTATTATTTGTAGTTGGTTCCCACTGCATTGGTGCTTTGGTTGCCACTAATGACATCGTTATAGCCACTCACTGCTACCTCAGTGTGCTCGTGGTTGTCGTCTGGGTGACCATACCGGACTCTCCAGTTGAGAATCCGCACCCATTCCATCTGCCCTCGCAGATATCCAGCACTCCTAGGCCATATCTTTGCATTTCTTTGGCTAACTGGGTAGCCTTTCTGGTCACGTACATTGTGCGTACATTTCACATCCCCATTCTTATTTTGCTTTTATAGAGAGAAGACACATCGGCTGACTGGCTTCCCGAAGGCTTTCATTTCGCCTCTCCGATTCGGGCGAAGAATACGATTTTCATTTGAAGTTTTTGTATTTTTAATATATTTTCTGTGTGTTGAATTTTTTCTTGCGGTTTTGAAAGATTCAGTGGTGTGGGGTTGCCAACCCCACATCCAATTCTCCCTCTTTATCCGGGCTTGAGACCGGCTAGAAAACTAGCGAGTTAGTTAACCAGGTGACGTTCGAGTTTGCTATGTATACCACAAATTCACAGAGATTAGAATTCATCGGATCGAGTTGAATTCCATCTGAGTGACTCTCCTGCTAACTTCAAAAGTCCTGGATTCGATCCCTGGTGGTGGGATGATGTGTGTGTGTGTGTAGCATTGAAAAGTTGTAAACTAGAGTAAATAAGCTGTCCAGTATTCTTTTCTAGTTTATAGTATTTCTCTAACTGAATTCGATTCGTGATCAAACTATAAACCAATCTGATTCCTGCAAACCAACATTTGAACAAATGGGATTCATTGGAATTTGATCAACGTTTTTCAATATGGACTTCATTACAAACCTATATACAGAGGTTAAGCCTAGTTGTCCTAAATTTTAAATGAGTATTTATTGTCCACTAGGGAGGACACTTCGATATAGCTACCAAGCACTACTGGTTGTTGTGAGCAGTATACAACTCACTACTCATCTCAGTCAGTCAGTAGTATATAGTTGTAGACAAATACACTTGCTTTATTGATTACCATTTAAGATACCAGGTACATCACATATTTTGTGATCTGAACAATTTCGGTTCCCAGGCGAAACTTTGATTAGATTTCACCACTTCAAACTGTATCAGTTACAAATTGCGGTTCAAGATTTCATCACCTAGTGACCTGAATACTTAATTATGTGGTTGAAGATAGTCATTGAGAAACCTTCAGGCTAGGTTTCGTACTTGGCGACACGCATCAGAAAGAAGTATCTCCAGCCTTGAAGGATGGAGATTGGAAACCACGTCACAGGAAGGACTAGAAATATGATCAGCCGGTGTATCTATTTCAGTCCTACAGGAGATGGTCAGTCATAATATCTCTGACTGATGATTCAAATCTCAGAATAGACAACTCCTTGCAGGTGAGTAACAACAAGCACAAAATCTAGGCGTAAGACTTCTTGTTGATTACCTTCAACTACTTGACATCAGTTCAAAATAATCCTGCTCCCAATGAACAGATTTCACACTTGATTGATAGAATGACTGCCTGGCTGGTTTCAACGTTGAAATTTGCACCGATGTGCAGTAGTTCGAGTCACCACACTTCACTCGCCACACAAATCCAGAGAAAACAGTAAAGGAAAACGCAAAATAGAGATAATAAACAGAGATATAAGGTAAAAAGAATAGTACCATGGAAGAACGATAGAATTCTATTGGATACTATAAATCACAAAGAGTGTATGCATCTGCAACAGCCATAAAACCGATCGTCTCCAACCGTCATTGTTTCTAACCATCCTGAGGACCCCAATCAGGAAGTCTACACCTCCTTACTTGGCTGGCTGGCTTAAACTAACTGTTGTATATTTCACTGACTGATAATGACATATTTTGGTCTGACCACCATTGGCTGTTTTCCAACCTGACCCTTTGTCAGCTAACACTTCCCATCAAAGAAGGCGAGGGTTGGGATGCATGCGTAACACATCTATTGATTTCCCCTTGCTCCCTTGCGATGCCTAACCTCAATATTGCTCATTGTATTGTACCAGCACTTCAGGCGGGAAATATAACTCAGGCACCTATGATCAAATATAGTTAGTGAGGCTTCTCATGTCTCCCACTCTCAGTGGTCAGGTTTCACATCCATAAAGGAGGACGGAACAAACTGCTGAGCAGTACACACACTCTTTGGTCGGTAGGCAGCCGGATATCTCGTCTTCTAAGCCAGAGACGGCGTAAAGGGGCATATGCGAAACGAACCTTCTGTATCTCTGCTGAGATTTCATCAGTGATCAACCTGTTGGAATTGGCCAATACAATTCTCTAAATAAGTGAAGTGGCCAACACTCTTCACCAACCAATTCACTCCCGTCTATCTTTGGGCTAGGAGTCAATGTAGTCCAATCCTATAGCCTCATAATCGTACATTTGGCGGGAGCAGGTGAATCGCATGACAAACATTCTCAGATTGCGGCTCAATGTGTTCAGAAAACACTCCATTTTGTCAGAGTCTTCACCTAGGAGGGAGGACTATATCATCTACATATTCCAAGTCTAGAAAAGAGAAAGATTGAGTGAAGAAATATTTACTTTTCAATTAGATCCTCATCTCTGGCTCTACTCTAATATATATAGCATTTTAATTAAAATACACAACAATTTACCAATCAAGTGGCGATATGTTTGTTAACAATAATTAGTCGGTGTCAAAATGTCAATGGGGTGATAGTTAACGAAGAAAAATTAATATATATAATTAAAAGGTGGAAATGGTTACAACATGTGGATTGCATAATGCATAATTTTGGAAAATTGAAGAGCAATTAAGGAATAAGCGTGTGCACAGGTTGATTACGTAACAGATTGTTAAAGAAAATAAAACAATTTGGACAATGATAATTTGTAACTAAAGTTGAAGTGATCAGAAGAATAAAATAATTTTTACGAGGATAACACGTAATTAAAGATGAAGTAGTCAGAAAAATAAAATAATTTGGACAATTATAGTTTTTATAGTTTTTTAAAAAGAAAAAAATATTTTAGGGGGAGGAGATGAAGTATTCCGGTGTGTACAATCATGTAACGATGGCCAAGGTAAGGAAAGTGGCTGTACAAATTTCTTCTGAACACACAAGTTTGGCTTCTTCAGGTGGATTCCTATTGCTTCAGCTGTATGTAGAAGACGAACTCGTAAAGCAAAATTAAGATTAGTAGGAATGCGATAAATAATTTTAAATGCAGTATTAACATCAACCTTATGCTCACTATCTACAAGGTGGGCTAAAATAGAGCTACGAATAGATCTTGTTTGTCCCTTGCTTAATCATGCCGGATGATGTTCGGAAATACGATGATGAACCTGCCTAATTGTTCACCCGATGTAGCTGGCTCCGCAGCTGCAGTCAAACTGGTAGATACACATAGAAGAGGCGACCATATATACGACCACACCTATCCTACGTTCGAGTAATAAGGATAAACTACCTAAATTCGCCTCTTCTATGTGTATCTACCAGTTTGACTGCAGCTGCGGAGCCAGCTACATCGGGTGAACAATTAGGCAGGTTCATCATCGTATTTCCGAACATCATCCGGCATGATTAAGCAAGGGACAAACAAGATCTATTCGTAGCTCTATTTTAGCCCACCTTGTAGATAGTGAGCATAAGGTTGATGTTAATACTGCATTTAAAATTATTTATCGCATTCCTACTAATCTTAATTTTGCTTTACGAGTTCGTCTTCTACATACAGCTGAAGCAATAGGAATCCACCTGAAGAAGCCAAACTTGTGTGTTCAGAAGAAATTTGTACAGCCACTTTCCTTACCTTGGCCATCGTTACATGATTGTACACACCGGAATACTTCATCTCCTCCCCCTAAAATATTTTTTTCTTTTTAAAAAACTATAAAAACTATAATTGTCCAAATTATTTTATTTTTCTGACTACTTCATCTTTAATTACGTGTTATCCTCGTAAAAATTATTTTATTCTTCTGATCACTTCAACTTTAGTTACAAATTATCATTGTCCAAATTGTTTTATTTTCTTTAACAATCTGTTACGTAATCAACCTGTGCACACGCTTATTCCTTAATTGCTCTTCAATTTTCCAAAATTATGCATTATGCAATCCACATGTTGTAACCATTTCCACCTTTTAATTATATATATTAATTTTTCTTCGTTAACTATCACCCCATTGACATTTTGACACCGACTAATTATTGTTAACAAACATATCGCCACTTGATTGGTAAATTGTTGTGTATTTTAATTAAAATGCTATATATATTAGAGTAGAGCCAGAGATGAGGATCTAATTGAAAAGTAAATATTTCTTTGCTCAATCTTTCTCTTTTCTAAATGTCTAAATGAGGATATTTTTCTATATTCCAAGTCAACGAGATTATTCGCTGGTGGTAACAGATCAATCTCTGAGTCTCTGAAGTCAGCATTTAGGGTTAAGTCCATTAGTATATCTATGATGAAATTGAATAGAAATGGGAATAGTGACATCACTAGTTGTCACCACTTCAGATAACACAACTGGCCATAACAGATGACAGTCAATGACACTGGTTATTCCGTGTAGATCAAGCATTTACATTTACAATACCAAAAGCGATATGAATCTAACAGTCACAACAACAACAATAACAACAACAACAACAGATCAGCTTACCTCTTTCCATCGATTAGTATAAAAATGCATACAATCTTCTAGACCAGTTTGCCAACTCTCCGGTTGAATATGATCCATTATACTACCATAGGCCTTGTTCTCTTCTAACAATTGACTAATACTTTGTTTATCCAATGCACAGTTTTCAGCTTTTTTCGTACGATATACTTCTAGCATAGCCATACTTTCTGGTGTTAGCTTAGTGAAATCTTTTTTCAACTGATTTTTCAATTCTGGATATTTTTGCCGGATATATTCACAACAGTGGAGATAAGTATCTTCGAGTTGACTGTCATTCTTCCTTATTATTGTTGAATCATCGTACTGACTTTCAGACTAAGAATACATATATATATGTATATATATATATATATATATATATATATATATTGCAAAGAATAGAATGAATAGAAGTTGGACAGAAAATGGTAGAGTATAATTCCATCATATTATTACATTATTGTAATTCCTTTGGGTTCCGAGTTGAACAACAACAAAACATACAATTGGTGGATGGTGGCTAGCAGTGGAATCCAGGATGCGCATTTCGTCCTATTTGGGACTCGTCAGCTGGATGTACCTGCATTTCTCAGTGAGTGATGACGTTCCCACCGAAGCTCGAACCCAGTACCCATAGTTTCAAACGCCAAAGCGTTATCCACTAGACCACTTGGGCCACGAGAGCCACTGCCTCTTGTGCAACGGGTCATATTAATTATTGAATTGAATTTTTGATTTTCCCGTCGATTGTTTGGACCGAAGTGCTCGGTCTCAGGTTAACATGTCGGCTTCTTGTGCAGATGCTTCGACGATGTCTGGGCTTTTAATTAGTATCCAGCTGACGAGTCCCAAATAGGACGAAATGCGCATCCTGGATTCCACTGCTAGCCACCATCCACCAATTGTATACTAATTAAATGCCCAGACATCGTCGAAGCATCTGCACAAGAAGCCGACATGTTAACCTGAGACCGAGCACTTCGGTCCAATCAATCGACGGGAAAATCAAAAATTCAATTCAATAACAACAAAACATCTTCACGTTGTTCTATTCTCTGCCGTCTACTTCAGCTGGCTAGCTCCATGATTGCCTATAATCTGTCATCTTCTCCTTCTCTAACAAACACAACCTTCTACATGTCACCGTTTCCATTCAGATTTTTTCACTCGAGTGATGGCCTGCATTGCGCAAGATGTCATTCGACAGCCTCGTCAATGTATGCTCGATCAATTCATCTCCATTTACTCCTACATATTTGTTGAGCGACTGACTCTTGGTTCCTTTATCCCACTGCACAGTTTATTGTCTATAATTCTTTCCGACTGGCCATTTAGTCATCAATATAGAGCCAGCCAATGAAGGTGGCAGCTATTGATAAAAGTCTGCAGTGGCTTGTTGGAAATCTTTTCCGTATGGAAGAACTCTAACTAACTGTTTGACTGACTTTACATTTCTACTGAAAATCATAATCATGTTCTTTATGCTAAGGTGGAATGCAGTGCAGAAGATTTCCAAACTGGTTTCAGGTTGATGGAGGTGTATCTTGCTTGTTTTTTCCATTCCAGCTGGTTTGCTAGCTTTAATATCTTCATCCGTTCCTGCTGCCTGTGGTTGAAACTGTACTTCCTCACTGGATAATTGAAGGGAGTAAGCTCTGTCAAATATCTCCCATTGACGTTGATTGGTGCTGTTGACTGTTATTGCTGTTGGTCTCCGTCTCTGTCTTCTCGATGTTCAGCGCTGTAGTCCTGTCTTTCCTGGCTGCTTCTTCTGCCAGTTTGTTGGTTTTCTCCTTCCTACAAGTCTTCGAGGTTGTGTGTGACTGTGGTGATTGTTTAAGTACTTACTGTTGATTGCTAATATGTTTCATATATGAATTGCATTAGAATTCTGCTAAATACAAATTTCTGAATTCCGCCCTCTCTGTGTTTTGTTTGGATTCTTGTAATTCGGTCATCTCGAAATACTAATATTACTGTGGTGAGAGCAGGCTGCTAGCCGATTGGTTGACACTAAGCTACGTTAATATGGGACGTGAGAAAATATGAACAAGGCTGAGTCAACAACCAATCACAGCAAAGTTAACGTGGCAAAATATGATTCGCAGATAGAGAACTCTATTTGTCGAGGAATCCCGAAACAACCAATCAGAAGCCTGCGTTTGTCTGCCTAACTTCTGATAAACAACCAATCAGATGACTGCGCTTGTCTATAATAATGTATGTGAAATATGTATAAATACGTGTTGATTTTCATAATAAAATGATCTGTTGCTTCGCCCTTGTCTTCTGCTGTTACATTACGATTACAATAAATTACTATAGTGACATTAGACATAAATCATCCACACGTGAAATCTATATCTTCTAGAGTTTATTATTTTGTATCAGGAAAACAGCACGACAGTGGTTTAGCAGTGGAATGCTTGTCAGCCACCAACATGGTCCGGGTTTGATTCTCGACCAAAGTAATTAATTCTTAACCTCGCTTAGTTTACAAATCGATAATAAGCTAAAAGATGACGGAAGGCTAAGTGTGAAGCTAACAGCTGAACCCTGTAAAAACAATAACACCACGCCTACTGAAACTTCAGTGCTCAAAGCTTCAAGTTGTAGGTTCCACTTAGAAAACAAGAAATGAAAAAAAAAGCTTGCACTGTGCCATTGCTTGAAAGTTTTCATATTAAGAGGTAAAATCTAGAAAAATAACACTATGGTTCTAGTCACACTTTAATAGTATTACAAAACGATTTATAAATAACTTGAAACTGAATTATATCGTTCAAGCTGATTGTATTTAGGTATATGCTCAACATAGGATTTCTGAACACTGCATATTTTTGTTAGACAAAGGATATTATGAAGCAAAACATAACCCAATACTACCTTTTCTCGTCAGTGGAAGACATCAAAGAGACATTAAGAGAGCTTGTAAAGTAATTTATTGTACTTCACTTAACTTTTCACATCCTTTATGTGTACCACTTTCAAATAGGGCAGAGGTAATGGCCAACATCAACAGCAACAGACAACAATCAACCAGCACAAATGGGAGGAACCTGAAAGAAACAACCTCCTTCACCTACCTGGGAAGCATCGTTTTAACTACAGGCGGAACTGACGAGGATATCAAAGACAGAATCGGAAAAGCAAGACAAGCTTTCATTACTCTCAAGTCTGTGTGGAGGTCAACAGCACTCAGGATCAAAAACAAGATCCGGATTTTCAACTCCAGTGTGAAGTCAGTCAGTGTTACTCAATGTACGGATCAGAGACTTGGCGCGTCATAAAGAGCATCTCAAACAAACTACAGACCTTCATCAACAGCTGCCTTTGCTCAACACTCAAGATCAGATGGTCAGAAAAGATCAGCAATAGGGATCTCTGGCAGCAGCAACCAGGAACCGACTGTACAACAAGTAGGCAGGAAGAAATGGAGATGGATTGGCCATACGCTGAGGAAACCATCAAGTGACATCACTAGACAAGCCCTCGAGTGGAACCCGAAAGGGAGGCGGCGAGTTGGTCGTCAATGCAAGGGTGACTTGGAGGAGGTCATGCGAGGCGGAGATGAAAGCATGTGGGAAGACTTGGAGCGGGGTGAAAAAGTTGGCAGAAAACAGAAGGCAATGGAGGTGCGCAGCTGAAGCCCTATGTTCCTGTAGGAACTAAAGAATAATAATAATAAATATAATAGTGGTAGTCAGAACTGATCTGAACAAGGCAACTCTGTGTGTGTTCAAAAAGTGGCTAAGCCCTTATGACATGCTAAAAGTGATTATAAATCACACTGTATTTATCAATTTGAATGTACGTGTGGCCACACATACACAGGGAGGACTCATCCATCTCTGAAAGTAAGGGCTGGCTTCAGAGCATATTCCTAAGTGACTCCAGAAACAAATAGAATCTCCAAAATCCATTAATGGTGAGAACAAAAGACGCAGCTCCTTTGTTGCAAAACATATTATAGAGACAGGATATAAACTTGACGTTTACTTATCTTTTAAACCTATCTATAAAACGTGTTTGGGGTGCATCCTGAGGTTTGTGGAAACCCTAGCTGTCAGTTAGCAAGTTTTAACTACCTTTATGCGTTCAAAGCAATAATTTGTCAGCACACTAAACCACCTTCCTTGGTAAACTTTGTTTTGATACCACCCAGAGTAGATGTACTATTACCTCTGTTATTTGGTTTAGTGATCTTCCTTGTTATTGTCACCTTCAATATGTCATTTTAACTTGACCTAATTTATCAATTTCCTCACGTCTTAACTCTTTATTAATTTCCGATGTACATATTCCTATGACAAGTCCGTATGTGATCAGATTGTTCGAAATGTGTTGTGTGCAAATACACCACTACATGATTCATACAAATCCCGCCTTCTTACCTCTTTCTAAAATAATAATGAATAGAGTAAAAGTACAACAGAGAGGTGAAGGTATTTTTGATCCAGGTTTTGCCATAGTACACAAACAATGCCTGAACATATTCGTCTTGAATACATAGTTCCAGTTTATTTAACCTTATATCAACAGCTTTAGCTGAATTTCGAAATTCTTTCCCCTACTCCCCTATACCTAAGAATTTATATTTCTCACTGACTAATAATCTGTCTCTAGTTTGCTCTAATTAACTGTCTTGAAAATATTTTCCCTCGGCGCCATTATACTACTATAAGTAGTTAAATGGCTTTACGAAAATTTCATTTGATCTTCTTTCGGAATCCATTATTCGGCTTGCCATAGTTTTAATGCTGACTAGCTGAGATATTCTCTAAATAGACTCAAATACTTCACTTATTAGCACTGATGTGCAATATTAATTAGTTTTGTGAATTGACAGAAATACGTGACTGTGTACCACTGACATCACCAAGTAGTAGTGGTAGTACTTGCCAATCACCACGTCGTGATGGTCTAACCCCCAAACAACTGTTTTGTTCATCTGCGTCTGAGTCCATCAGCAGCGTCCCAGTTACTAACTTCAGTCAGTCAATAATACACAGTTTTGTGCAAATATGCCAGATTTCTCTGTTACCATTTATTGGTATCAACCAGGTCACATGTTGTGTGGTGATCTGAATAAATTGATTTCCAGAGGGAACTGGGATGAGATCTCAGCTCTTCGAACTGTGTAAATAGCAGATTGTAAGTGGCGGCCAAGTTAAACATTAAGCGCCACTAACTACCAATGGAGTACATCGGGACCAGTGACCTTGAATGGTCCAATGAGATTTATTCACGTCAGTAGAAGCTTCTATTCCGCTCGATTCGAGTCAAATGCCTGCTCTAACGCAGTCGCCTTTGCAATTTGGTGAGCATCAAATCTTCCAGTATTGCTTAAATGTGAGGTTGAATAAGAAAGAGAGGATTTGTTCATATGGAGGTGTGATGACCATAAAATGGTTCAGAAGGTATGTTGATGGACAGATGGGCATCGTTGTGCAATTCACTTGAGACTTGTTAGTGTCAGGGAAAGTAAGCTAATGATTCCAATATTTCGTAGGAACAGTTTTTGCCAGGTCCCATCTTTCCTTAACCCAGATTTTGTGTATTTTTTTAATGAACGGGGTTTCAAAACACCCTGTGAGAGGTGCAACTGCTAAAACTGAAAATGTTACGAGAACTGCAGGGATATCGCGCCTTGGAAAATGGAGAGGCCTACTTCTTCATTGGGAGAAGAAGGTGTAGTCATTCACGTGGGTGAAACTATCTTATTGAAGAAAAAATGCAACCGTTGTTGTGAATGAGCAAACAATGTTTGGACGCTCGGCTTATGTGACACCATTCTAATGATTTTGTGGATTCCATTACAGGCACCCACACCAATTCTGTCGATAGCTTTCGGGGTAGGTTAAAAACAGGATTAGAGCCATTCACGGATCACAAATCAATGTCATTTATAGTCATTTAGATGAATACATGTATAGGATGTGATGTAACTTTTCCATGTATACTCCTATGTTAAACTTGGAGGTGTTTTCATCACATGTGAGAGAAAGGTATTCTCTGTAGCACTTTTATACAGTTTTAATGCATCTTTTTCATAGATATATGTGTTCCATATCCAAAAATGCCTCCTTCATGTGATTGATGCGTTCAAAGTCACTCGCTGATTAGTAGTTGGTGGTGCTTAAATTTTAACTTTTCCTAATTAGCTAGCCAAACGTTACGTAATTTGAACTGATTCAGTACTCTGAGCTGAGTTAGACCAGGTACACCACTGATGATCTTGACTTCAAAGGTATGAAAGGGTTATCTGGCGTTCAGATCACTTCAATCTGGTGACAAAAGCTGCTGGTTAATACGAGTAGTATGCAGCTACTTGTATCAAGCAATCAGTAGTATATCGTTTTATACAAAAATTCGTAAGTGTAGGAATACAATTTTTTTCAGTAATGTTTTTCTAACATTAGGTTAGTTAATTACGTTTATTTTTGTAGTTATGAAAAGTGTTATAAAACAAAATTGTTCACTTGTTAAGTGTGAGCGGATGACTCTATTCTTACTTCTGAGCAGATAATTGATTCTTTCTTTATCTTCTCTAGCATTCACTGCATTCTGAGTGGAAGGTAGGGCTACAATCTCTTAGCTGTGTGGGGTTTCAGTAGCAATCGGATTGTTTTCTTGGACTTACTTTTAGCCAGGAAATTAAACAAGGTTTCAGATTACGTCAGCCGAGAAATGAATCTGGATCATGTGCGTGACTGGCGAGCATTCCAACGCTGAGTCAGGGACACAAATATCTTAAGACCATCTGAGCACCATAACTGATTGAACCATTTTAAGCTACTATATGAAAATAATCTTATGAATAGGCTACAATTTGAATGATTATATATCAGGGAGTATTCTGTGTCATTCATTTAATTCTTCTTCTTGATTTCGACTGATTTCTACTAGGCAAGTTTGCAATGTAGTCAGTAAGCTAGGAGATACACCACTATGGCGCACTCGTGAAGCTACATCGACTGAGATGGTTAGGACATGTGTTACGTATGCCAAGTCATCGCCTCCCTCGACGAGGAATGTTTGCGAATATAGGGTCAGGCTGGAAAAAAGCTAGCGGCGGTCAAACAAACACTTGGCCGAACCAGTCAATGAAATCCACAACAGTTGGTCTAAGCCACGTAGGAAGGTGTAGACTTCCAGGCTGGGGTCCTCGGGACGGTAAAACTCTATGGTTGGAAACAGTTGGTGACATGGCTCAAACTCATCGTTCTCAATGCATGGCGCAGATGCATCCACTCCTTGTGACTTATGATCTCCAATGAAACTGTTTTGTTCTTCGTTATTACTCCTCCTTTGTCTCACACCTCTGCTCACTGTTTCTATTATGCTTTTCTTGTACTTTCTTCTCTTGCTTTGCGTGCTACACGGAGTGTGGCGACTTGAACTGGTGCACATTTGTGCAAAGTTCTATGTCGAAAACAGACAGACAGACAGACATGGTGCACTCTAAATTATTATTAATAGATGGGTGGACCTCGAACTACATTTGACACTTTTTAGAAAGGCATGTATTGAAGGTGCCAGTGTTTCTTCCAAGAGATTTTTGCTGGTGTCACACCCTGTCGTTGTCAGAGATGTTATTAGTAAGGGACTATTCGGTAACCTTTTCAACTTTGCTAGTTGGTGACATGAATTCAAACCTTAAAAAGGACATCGACCCCTTCAAGGTTATAGGTAAATATATCTGACAAACACAAACGAAAGCGAAACATAGATTGAGAACCTCACCTAATCATATAACATCAAACCACTACTTCTTCACTTGAGTAAGTCGAAGAATAAATGCGTGAACACTTTAAAACAGTTGATAGTTTCACTCACCATGTTTTTGGAAGATCTTCATAAAATAATCAAAATATTTATCTTTTTTAAATGTTATACTCTCTTCAAAGATACATTTAAACCTAAAAGGTGAAGAAATAAATATACATTTTAAGGAAAAGATAAATTCATGGATAATCCCCATCCAAGCATTAATGAAAACATAACACGTAGATTAGCGAAGAGTCTTTTTTCGGCGGGGAATTCATTTTCTTAGCTGTGCAATCGCAAATATATATGTGCTGTTTTGTATGTATGTGTACATTAAGTTTGTCAAACAAAATTACAATCGGTTAAGGTTACTTTTAACTTAACAGGTGAAGGCTGGTAATGCAGGTCAAGAAAATTAAGTGTTCATGAAATTAGGGTAGTAACAAAGGTGACGAGTTATCACAAACAGTTGTTAAAAAAGAAGTTATGCAATAATAATATGAATAGTTTGATGAGTGAGTTTTACTCAGGATGCACATAGGAACATCTTACTAGTTACTAGAAAGATGTTTCGCTTAACGTTCTACATTAGGAAATTTAGGCAGTCTGGCATAAAGCAGTCTTTGCTTTCTCAGTTTGTAAATTCTTGTATTCTACCCATCCGCCTTTACTGCTCCCCATTAATGTTTCCTGGACTACTTAAGAAAGACTTTGCTTTGCTGAGAAGGGTAGGCACTAAAAGCCGTTAGTAGGGCAAGTGGGATATCGTTGAACCAGCTGGTTAACACTATTGTGGATAGACATATTATGTCCTGTAAGAAACTAGCAAATACAATATTGTCGGACCCCGAGAATCCTCTCTATACGCAGCTGTCTCCTTGCATCTTGTCTGGTAGAACTAGAAGCAGCTATAGGAGGCTATATGCTAGGACTACCAAATACAAAACTCCACAATACCATGTCTAGTACAGCTGTTATGTGATGAGAAATCCGTTAGGTATGACACGATAAACTTACTGCGGCACTCTAACAAATAGTCCCATTAGTTTTTGTTTTCCTTTCTTCGTTACTATTACACTGCTGTTCTCATCTTCTATCACACATCAACTTTATATTTCATATATATCCTGTGGTGCATTGTTTGAAATGTAAACTCTACGCTATTTTTTTAAAATTTTTATTTATCTTTTATTTTTTTGGCGTTGGTTTCTTTCATTGACTTATTTATTTACTTTTTTGATTTTAAAAATCTTATATAATTTATGAGGTAATTAGATTCAATATATTGTAATGCACGCTGAAAATTCCATACCTGTACCACAAATACCGTTTGGAATAAAGCCGTTAATATTATTATTATTAATACAAAATTACGTAAGAGATCTAGGTGAATAGAAGAATTATAAGCAATTACAGAACAGGCAAAGAAACAAAATTGGATCATCAAAATAAAAATAAAAACTCAAAACAAATCAAAACATTGTTACCATGAGAGTAGAAGTGGCTGAGTAATCTTCTGTTGTATGCACAGCTCCGGTTTTTCCATGTGAATGGCCAGAGCTTCAGTGATACAAAGGAGACGAAACCGTATTGCCTTTGATAGATTATTCTTGACTCTGTAGATTACTTTGAAGGAGGCGTTTGTATCGCTGAAGCTCTGGCCATTCACATGGAAAAACCGGAGCTGTGCATACAAAAGAAGATTACTCCACCGCTTCAACTCTCCCGCGTTGTTTAGCGGTTAGGATTCCTGGCTCTCACCCAGGCGGCCCGGGTTCGACTCCTGGCGCGGGAGCGCTTTGTGCGTCGGTGGCACAGTGGTTAGGACTCTCGCCGACCATGCACATGGTCTGGAGTTCGATCCTCTGCTGACGCACACCCGATATCTATGGTCGGCCTGCGAAATTTGGGCTACCGATATCACATGCTGAAAATTCCATACCTGTACCAAAAAATACGGTGTGGAATCAAGCTGAAATAAAAATTAAGAAAAATAAATTAAATTAAAAATTGAAATTAAATTTCCAATGTTTTGATTTGTTTTGAGTTTTTATTTTTATTTTGATGACCCAATTTTGTTTCTTTGCCTGTTCTTTAATTGCTTATAATTCTTTTATTCACTTGGATCTCTTACGTAATTTCGTATTATCTACTTTGTTTCTATGTGCATCTTGAGTAAAACTCACTCATCAAACTATTCATATTATTGCATAACTTCTTTCTTAACAACTGTTTGTGACAACTCATCACCTTTGTTACTACCCTAATTTCATTAACACTTAATTTTCTTGACCTGTATTACCAGCCTTCACCTGTTTAGTTAAAAGTAACCTTAACCAATTGTAATTTTGTTTGACAAACTTAATGTACACATACATACAAAACAGCACATATATATTTGCGATTGCACAGCTAAGAAAATGAATTCCCCGCCGAAAAGAGATAAATTAACAGGACGTTTTAGAATGTTATCTTGTCTTAAAACTAGATATGATTGTGGGTTACTGGGGTTGTGGGTTCGTCAAACTTCAGCAGAATGCGTCTCCAAAGCGTAACGCTATGTATAACCAGTGGATCGATTGAAAACATCTCCCACACTAAGATGGACATAAAAGTCAGACTGACAATAACGACGACCGCAACAACAACCTTTATTAAACAAAATACAGAGCATGTAATTAGAGGTTAATTGGTGGATGGTGACTAGCAGTGGAATCCAGAACCTGCGTTTCGTACTATTTGGGACTCGTCAGCTTGATGTACCTGCATTCCTCAGTAAGTGATGATGTTCTCATCGAGGCTCGAACCCAATGCCCATAGTCTCAAACCCCAAAGCATTATCCACTAGACCACAGGGGCCACCCCTTGTGCAACGGGTCATGTTAATTATTTAACTGAATTTTAGATTTTCCCGTCGATTGATTGGACCGAAGTGATCAGTCCGAAATAGGACGAAATGTGCATCCTGGATTCCACCATCCACCAATTAACTTCTGATTACATCCCTAGAAATCGTCAAGGCATCTGTAGAAGAAGTCGACATGTCAACCTAAGACCTGGTACTTCGGTCCAATCAGTTGACGGGAAAATCTAAAATTGAATTTTAAAAAATTACAAAGCATGTTTCATTTATAAAACCACAGAAATTTAGGCCATAATTAAGCATATCTTTCAGTGGACACTAGCCAGTAACTAGTGTGACATGCCTAGTCCTTTCTTCGGTGCACACTGAATTCTATTAGTCTAGTTCACAATGTGGCCATCATGCCACTAGATAGCTCGCCATCAAGGTGCATATTGATTCGATGATGTTAGAGGGTTGGGTGACGCGGGTTCGAGTCTCAGGAGGAGGGGCAGGAATCCCTTCAGTGTCGCAGATACGCCTTGCTGATTAGTGAGTGCCAACTAGCACGAAAACAACGTCAAGCAGGGCTTCCTGTCGATTGCCTGCGACCATCTAACATAAACAAATCTAATTAATCATGATCCTCAGGAACTGAAGCCACAAATCAACAAATCAAAACATTTCTACAAAAAATTGAGCATCATTAGAGCCTAGATGACCAGCAAATTAAGGACAATGTCTGAACTAACTTCTTTTGGACACATAAGTTAGGCATCTTAATGTGGATCCCAAAAGCCAGCCTCAGCAATATTTAATAGTAGACGGACTCTTAAGGCGGAGTTAAGCCTCGTTGACATCAGTCTTGTGTTCTGTATCCACAAGATGAGATAGAATAGCGCTAAGAATAGATTTGTTTGTCCTTTACTTAACCACTTAGGATGGTGTTCAGAAATCCGGCGAAAAACACGCCAAGTTGTACGGCCTATGTAACTGGCTTCACAGGAGCAGTTAAACAAACAAAATGATTACTTCATGGCTATCAGAGAAGCTTATCCGTCCTGACACTCTCCTTTTTTATTATTAGTTCTGTACTGGGGGACCACTGGATGGCACTTTGTAGGTCTGTGTACTCAATCAAGTGGTTATTCACTTCCCTGATGCTTCAATTTTGTCAGAATAAATTCTGAGATATCCGCTGTAATCATCAAGGTGCCCATGGTGATATTTATAACTACAGTTGAAAACAAATGAAATATCTATCTTCAGATTTGTAAGTTTGACTGGCTAACTGACTAAGGTTTCAACGCAGAACTTTTCATAGGAGTGCATCAGATCATACTGTCACGATAGATACAGCGCTGTTTTACAGTGCATACAGCCATCCACCCACCCACACATGACCGCAATACAGATCAAACCTAGGAACTTGAGCCTATGTGGTGAGTGAGTTAACATCCATATGACCTGTGAATTCTAGTGCCATCTCCTTCCAGTTAGCGTTGTCAGCGAGTATCTCTCTTTTCTATGTGGTTGTGTTCTCTGAGCTAGATGGTTTATTTACGAAGCCGTCATTGACCCCCTACAAGGCAACATCTTCAACGCATACTTCAATTTGTGGAAGTGACCTTGAACGTGATTAGTTGTTTTTGTGTGTTTTCGCACGCTCTAGGCTACTTTTATTCGTACTGAGTGTTTCCTTGACTTGAAATTTGACCCTTGGTGTGTGAGATTTCCTTCTTATCAATTGGCAGATTTAGTCTATGTCAACGTATCTATTTATTGACGATTCACTGGAATACCAGGCTGGTTTCTAAAAATTCTCTAGCATTCTTTGTGTTTCCTCTGTCTAGTATCTAAACTCTGGTTGTCCCAGTCGAATTGATGTCCGTGGTAGTCTGTATGCAGTGAGACGATATGAGTGGGGAAGTGGATGTCATGTCTTTTGACGGCTAGCTTATATTTATGGATACGAAGACGAAAGGGACATCCACTTTGGCCAATGTAGTGTTTTTCGCAGTCGTTGCAACTTATTTTATAGATAATGTTGGTTTTATATTCTTTCGTTGTTGAGTCTTTTGGCTGTCATAAAACTGAGTGAAGTGATTTTTATTGCATGGAGGATTTAATCATGAGCTGACATCAGTTAGAGAACCACTGGAAAACCTGGGAGTATTGGACAGCTGTTTCGTCCTAGTTTGGGACTCTTCATTATTGCTCACCCACCGAGGTTCGAACCCAGGACTTTCTGGCTACAAGGCGAACTCGTAGATCATTGAGCCACTGGGACCCGATCCAGTGGTCCTTGAAT